GTGTGTGTGTGTGTGTGTTTGTGTGTGGTGTGTGTGTGTGTGTGTGTGTGTGTGTGTGTGTGTGTGTGTGTGTGTGTGTGTGTGTGTGTGTGTGTGTGTGTGTGTGTGTGTGTGTTTTTTCTCCTCATTGTCTTGCTGGTGCGATGAGGGAATGAGACATGGAATGAACCCAGGCGTTCCTTTTGATCGGTCAGTTTGGCTAGAAATCGATGGGCTCCGGTGGTTTAGATTGGAATTCATGCCATTTACCAGGGCCTTAGCATGACTTGGCTTCCTCTTGCGATTGCTGCGAGTGCAGGGAATGAGAAATGGAGTCTGAACCCGAGATAAGCCAGGTGGTTTCCTTTATTGGGGAGTCCCAAAACGGTTCATTCCGTTTCTCATTCCCTACTTATCGCACCGATCGCAAGTCCTTTTTGTACTGAGCGCGGCTTACCTTTTGGCCTTTGTGGTTTTTCTTACAAGAAAACCAGCCTTCAGCTTCACTTTGCGCGTTTAACAACTTTTCGCCCTATTGGGTTGGCGGTTGCCTTTTTAGTTTAAGAAGGTTGCCGCGTGGGGTTCCCTTTTGCTCTTTCCTTTTAACTTCTTGCCTCGTTGCCCTCCCTTTGCCCTTTTTGGTTTTCTTGGTTTGCAACCTGTTGGTTTTGGCTGCTTGCCTTGTTGGGGTTGAACTGTTTGTCGGAATGTCTTGCTTTTTTGGATCAAGCTCTTGGCTCGTTTGATTTCCCGTGGTTGCCTCATGTGCTTCAACTGCTTGCATGTTGGGCTCAAGCTGTTTGGCTTTTTTTTGTGTGTGTGTGTGTACCTTTTTGCCTCATGGGTCTTACTCTCTGCCCGTGTAGTTTCTTACCTATTGTTTTTTCACCTTTCGGCCTTTTTGGTTCTATCTTTGTATTCTTTGGTTTGCTTGGCTTGCAACCTGTTGGTTTTGGCTGTTTGCCTTGGGGTGAACTGTTTGCCTTATTGTGTTGCCCTGTCTTCCCTCGTCTCGGGGCCCGGATTCAAGGTACGACACATGCGTGGCGCTGCCCACGCGGAAGCTGCTGCAGAAGCTGGTGGAGCGAGAGGAGACCCACCTGCGTCGGACCTTGTCAGGTCCCCGGTCGGGCGAGGAAATCCCACGGGCCAAGTTCCTTTGCTTCCATTTGCTGACATTACTATGCAGGGCTGTGGGAAATGGAATCCACTTCTGTGATACAAAAGAGCCTCCCAAAGACCAACTCCCCATATAAAGAGGGGATTCTCTTGTATCACAGAAGTGGGGATAAACCCCTTGATCCCACAACCCTGTTCCTATGTGTTCTTTAAAACCCATCATGGGCCAAGTTCAAACTTTTTACCGAAAAATGGATTTGCAGTTGGGTGTCTTTTTTTTTGGTTGGGTAATGTTTAAAGTGGAAACTCACCCTGGTGGAGAAACCCCACTTTGCACCAACTGGTGGTTCACTCTGTTTGTAGGGAGTCAAACCTATCCATTGACTGCAAGATGTTGCCCATCAGCTGCACATCATTTGCACATGGGGATTCGTGGCCCAACCAAACCTCTGAGGGCGTTCCGAAAACTCAGAGCCCCTTGATTTCCGAAAGCTCGCGGAATCGCAATCGACGGGACAGCACACGCGCTCGAACTTCGCCAGAAACACAAACTCGGCAAGGGGTAAGTCGCCGGCTTCAAGAAAGACCTGGGTGTGAAGGTAAGGTACAGTCCATGCGACTAGCCTTGCACTCATGCGTTTTTTTCTATGGCGTAGGGTGGGCTCCTTGAATAGGTCCTGATTGTGACTTGCATTTTTCACCCTTTTGTTTTTCCTCCTCGGATGGCACACAAGTTGCAGGACGGGGGGTCCCCTAGCGGCGGAGATGTCAGCAACTGGTTCGTGGCCTCCGGCACCGCTGCCAAGGAAGGGCTGGGGAGGTTTCTGGCTGGTTCATGACTGTGCGCTCAAAAATATGCAGATGTGATACATGTACCAAGATAACACCTTGGTAAATAGAACCAAAGACTACTACCGCGTAACCCTAGCTCTTGAATTTTAAGCCACAGCCATGTGACTTATGCCTTTTGATGGTTGGAACTCCAAAAAGGTTGGTTGGTCGGCATAAATCACAACTTGAATGATGTCCACCGAAGGGGTGCCCGAGTAGGAATTCCCATGACATGGTGGAAACGTCGTTCAGCCCTGCCAAGCTTTCATGCTCTTGTTTCGTGTTGAAAGGAGGGCTCCCCCAAGTGGGTTGCCCCACCCATTTGCAGCGGACCAGCTGGGAGGGCCTTCCAGTGGATTCCAGCGAGTGTCAAAAGAACCGGACAAGCCATTTGAAGGGTGAAGCAGTGAAGCATGTACCAGGTCCAGCAAAACAAGATGAAGGGCCTGTAGAATTTTCGATCTTTGACCCCTGAGCCTTGAGCTACATGAGGCCCACAAGCTGGAGAAGGCAATGGGCCAAGAGGCGCTCTGCAGATGGACCTCCGCCAACTTGACGCGGGTCTACCCGGAGGCGACGCACATCAGCTCTGGCAACGTGGACCCGGTGCCCATGTGGCTCTGCGGGGTATCCATGGTGGCCATGAATTACCAGACCTCGGATACCGGGCTCTTGCTGAACCAAGGCTTCTTGGAGCTGAACAGCACGCAAAGCATGTAAAGCATGCAGGTTTGTTTTTGTTTTTTGTTTCCCCCCCCCCCCCGAAAGCCATCAAAGAAGAATGAGAGTTCATTTCTCCCCGGGCCATCCCCGGCAGTCAGGCCCATAGGTGTCCTTTTTGGTTGATTGGGTTGAAAAATGGAGGGCGATTTCCTGTTTACGGGGTGGTTCAATCAGCTACCAGGGCCATCTATGTTCAACCAAAAAGGACACCATTTCAGGCTGGCTTCAAGGGAAGCTAAAAGCCAATCCATTTTGGGGTCCAAATCCCGAGACACATTTTTGCGCACGCAGGCCTCTTTCGGCATTACAACGGGAACTGCGGCTACGTGCTGAAGCCGCTGCCCAGCGCCCCTTTGCCGCCGCGGAAGCTGCGGCTGGGCATTTGCTGCGGCCACCGCTTGCCCCGCCCGGACGGCAGCCGGGCCAACGAGGTCAGCTCCCCCATGGTGGTGGTGTCCCTTTACCCGGGCGGACAGGCCGGGCCAAGGGGCACTTCTCCCTGGGTTTCGTGTTTGGAATGGGTTACGTGGTTGTTTTTGGGAAACATGTTAACATTTTTGCTGGTGGCTTAGTGGTTGAAACCCCCACTTAACTGCTAACTATTTGTTTTCAATATTTGCTCCCCTTCCAACGTCAACCAAGGTTAGGGGGGTGCTTCTCCCTGGAAGACGGTTGGAATCAGACCACTTTTGGAGGAGCCCCCACACCCAATTATGGAGCGGCCAGGTAATGTTGACCCCAAATCGGGCCACTTTTGGAGGGCGCCCACACCCCTATTAATAAACTGGGGTTGACACACATGGGGTACACGTTAAGTTAAAACGGCGAAACCACATCCCCCCTTTTCAAGAGGTCTGCAGCCGAAAGTATGCCAATATGTAAATTAGAAAAAGTCCCACTGAGTTGTGTGTGAGCTTTGAATCTTTGTGCAAGTACTCGTGCTTGTGGACGTGAAGGGCAGCTGGATTGTTTGAGCTTCTCATGGCAGTAGGGAAATGTTAGTAGAGCACACGATTTCTCGCCGCGCATGTTGGGTGCCGCCGTGTTTCCCTGTTCTTGTAGGTGAGGCATGGGGCAAGGATCACGAAAGGAGAGTCCAAGTTCGGGCACCACGTTTTGCCCAGCTGCCAGCACTTCCCTTTTGAACCACCTAGCCACGCATGGGAAGCCACAGGCCTGCCTTTACTCATCTCCACACACACTGGCTAGCCGTCCATTGGGCGAAGCCTCTGGCTTTGGCTCGCTTACTAGAGCCAGCCATATCCCCACGTATTTTCGAGGTTCTCAAGTGTTCTCGTGGGCACTCAATCTGGTCTCATTTGTCCACAAAACTTCACCTCCCACACCGCGAGGTATCACAAACCCGGGCCGTGAGTGACGACGGCTACCACCCGGTCTTCAGCCATGAGGTGGAGCTCAAGATTTCGGAGCCGCTGAGCATCCTCACCTTTGAGGCCCATCGCTTGCTTGGGCTCGGGGCTCGGGGATGGTAGCAGGAGGTTTCAAGGCGCGGAACGGTTGAGGGGCAGCAGAGGGCAGCCAGTTGTAATTCGAACGATGCTTGTGCAGGTGGCTGGTGGCTGTTGGCTGTGGGGTGGCTTCATGTGGGGCAGGTGGCTGATCATAGGCCTCCTTTTTTGGTTGTTTTGGCAAAGATGGCCCTGGTTTACCAGGTGGTTTACTCATCTACCAGGGCCATCTACTTCCTCAAAAACGACACCTATGTGGCTGATTCTTGCAATTCAGTTCATTTGGGGCAGGTTCACGTGAGCCGCTTCCGACAGGTCTTTGACAAGGGGCGGCCGATGGCAAGGAGCGCCTTGAACCTGGACGCAGTGAGGGAGGGCTATCGTTGGCTGGCATTGCAAAACCTACAGGGCCACAGCATCCCACGCTGTGGCCTTCTTGTTAAGGCCCGGTTTGAGATGAGATAGATTTAATGTTGACCCCGGATTAATAACCCCCTGCTGATTAATATGGGGGTGTTCCCCTCGAAAAGTGATGATTCCCACTTAATAAACCCTGTTCATTAATTCGGGGTCAACATTATTTGGGCTGACAAAGCTTCAGCCCACATTGAACAGCCGCGAGGCAAAAAAAAAAAAAAACAAGCTCTCAGCGCATTCGGCGCTTTTGTTTTAGGGCTCGCCACTCTTTTCATGAAACACGTGTTGGATGCTTCTGGGTGCGAATCATTTAGAGTCAGGTTGTAAGCAAAAGACACATCCGGCGCAGAAGGAGCAATGAGGACACTTCACAGCTGAAGCGTGAATGGCGCAAGATGGGGCAGTACACGGGCGATTGCGCTTTATTAGATGAAAATTCTCCCTTTCCCCGGCCATGCGCAGGCCTATGACGTCTTGCCAGAGATGGACCCGGGAAGTTGTGAGCTCTCACGCATGCTAGGCCACAAGGTCTGAAGGTCTTAGGCCCGTCTTTGCGCGGCCTGGAGCAAGTCCGGTTTGCAGGGCCTGCCATGTTTCCGATTTCTATACTTGCCCCCCCTCCTCGTTTTCACTGGTTGCGCGAGCAGGGCATGCGGCATCACATCCCATGCATGGGGCTTGTGCCAACGCAACCGCTGGCCGATCCCGCAGGAAGCTTCCAAAGCCGGAGCTTTGACCAGCAAGGTGCTGAACCAGGAGTCCTCGGGGTCGCTGGAGATCAGGGAAACAAAGAATGAAGCAGAGACCCTGGCATGCCAATGGGCGGGCGGGATGGATGAGAGAGAGAGAGAGAAATGCACATAAATGATATGTATATATATATATGTAGAGAGAGAGAGAGAGAGAAAAAAAAAGAGAGAGAGAGAGAGAGAGCGCAAGAGAGAGAGAGAGAGGGAGAGAAGAGGGCAGGTATGCGAAGTCTTGGAAAGTTGTTGGGATTGCTTGGGAGCGACCGGGACGGGATGACTTATGCCCGATTCCTTGTGAGGACATGGCCTGGGACACCTTGCAGAGGTCCATCAAGGCGCAACTCAGGGCTGGCGCCAGAACATTCGCGGCTTGCCTTCTGCTTGCATTTGGCTTTTCCAAAAACAAAAAGCATTGGGTTGGGTTGGGTTTTGTCTTGAATCCTATTGCAGGTGACAGTTATTTTTGTTAGTATTTTTATTTGAAAATGGTTGAGAAGCAGATGGAATCGGAATCAGCATGCAGGCCGAAGCCACGGTTCCGGCACTGCAGCCAGACGGCCAGCTGCAATTCCTCCGCGCTCAGGCCCTCCGAGTGTTCAACTTGGTCGGCGGTTGGTATGCATAGGTGTCCTTTTTGGTTGACTTGGTCGAAAGGAGGGCGATTCCTGGTTTACGTGGTGGTTCAATCAACCAGGGAAACCCATTTATTTTCCCAAATATGGGACACCTATGAGGTTATGTATTTGTCGGGTGGTGCTCGCCCGGGGCGAGTTGTCAGGCATTTCTTTTGGATCTCGGTCCGGTGCACCGATTTGCAACAAATTTGAGGGGAGCACTTTGAAAGAAACGACCTGGCTTGACACAGCCCGGGCGAATGGTATGTGCCAAGGCCACTCGTCATGAAGGCTCCTTGCAGGCCCTGATGTTTCCCAAATTCGGTCTCCCAATCTTCGTGCAGCGCTTCGTCAAACGGGGGCAGGACATGGCCAAGATTCATTGGTCACTTTAACTTTCCTTTTAGTTCCCAACTGTGGGTGGACGAAATCCTGCACCTCCTAAGAAATGCTGGAATGATTCAGTTCTCTGGTAAATACCGACAAGCCTTATGGTTTCCGCCTGGCTTCAAAGTGGTGCGAAATGGATTTTGTCCATCCACAGTAGTGCCATCCAAGAGCGGTTCCTAGTTCCTTCATAGGCAAGTGCCCAGTGTCGGTCCTAGAGCGCCTCGGGCCAGGAAGTCATGCCGGGGCCCTGATGAAGCGGGTTTGTGGTTTTTTGGGGAATGCGGCGTGCCGGGCAGGGACTTGGCACTGAGCACCTGAGATTCTGAGGTGATGTCATTTGGTGTGCGGGTCGCAGGTTTCGGTCCATGTTTCCGCTTACCAGGGTTCCATTTCGGGTACCTGTCTTTGACCCACCGCCATTTGGCTGTGGCTCCGAAAGATGTCCCAACATGGCACCCTGGGAAATGGAACGTGAAGAACGTTAAAAACCTGTGTAGGCCTAGCCATTGAGTTGTGGGCCACACCCATTTCAGACACAGATTGGAAGGTTGATGTTGGAGTTGATCCTTGAATGGGCCCGAGAAAAGGCTTGCTTCACTCCGAGTTTTAGGTTTTAGCCTGGAGGTTTTGCTCATGAGTTCTCGGTCATGATGCTGGCTTACGGACATTGCAAGCTTCTTTGCTTTGAGCCGTGCAGAAATTCAGCATCCTTCACAACCGGCAGACATTGGGCGCCATGACCACCGCAGTAGCTTGAAGTGAGCAACAGCAGAGGTGTTTGCATTGAAACTGGGTTCAGACGGGCAATCACGGATTTCCGTCAAGGGAGTTCGGGCTCAAGCCACGAAACAGGGAGGCCTGCCGTGGGTTGCCTCAAGTCACGTGATGTCACGCGCTCCATTTGTTTATCGGCTGCTTTCGGAGAAGCTTACTCACCAGGTGGGTGCCTCCATCGTTTGTGGAGTTGCTGCCGGCTGACTTCCTCACGTGGTGAGCTCAGACGCAAAGTGCTGCAAGTTGTTTGTGCGGAATCCTGGTCCAACATGTCACCTGGAAGGGTGTCCAAATCTTCCCCTTGTTTCAACACAACATGCTGCGGGGGTTAGTGGCTTTGGGGCCACCATATTCCAGACAAATGAGAAACTAGGAATTCTGAAAGGGGGAATTACTCGGGGAAATTTGATGGTGGATTCGCCACTTGAGCTTTGGTCAACATTTCAGCATGGTCTATAGTTGATTTGGCGGGTGCAGGTGGGGACTCACTAAATTTCAGCCACAAAACCAGAGGCGTTACACATGTTTCTGCACATTTTTAGCGCGGTTGGCTTCCTTCTCCCCCAAAATCTAAAACTGGGTGTAGGTCAAAAAAGGGTACCCAAAATGGCACCCTAGTAAATCACCCCCATAAACCACGCTGAAACGTTCATTCCCAAACCCCGGACTCGGTCATTCCCTACAGAGCACCTGCAAGTCTTCCCTAAAACCTAGAACTGGGCATGGCACCCAGGTAAATTCGAAGCAAGGGCTAAAACCTGCGGTCCCACGGTGGTTTAAATATGTTTTGGATGTGTGTGTGGGGATGTTTTTTAGGGTACTCTTCGGTGGTTTGCCTATCCGAGGGGACCCGAGTCTCCATGTCCTTCAGGGCCTGGCTGGGTGCTGCGCCCATTGCGGCGGCACACATCGGAGCTGCCGTGTGGCACCCCCTGTGGCTGTCCCTCCGCCAGGGCCCCGGGCTTTACGAAACCGGGTTGCCCGATGGGTGGGGGGGGGGGAAATAAAAAGAGAATTTCTAACATAGGTGTCCTTTTTGGTTTGTTTGCTGAAAAGAGGTTTATTCAAAAGGCCACCTATGGTTTTTAAGGCAGGGAATTTGAAGGTTCCTCTTTCACGAATCAAGGTTCATGTTCAACAAACATGCAACATTGTTCGTTTTCAACATTGGATTTCTGGGTTTGGTTTAGGAGTATCTCAATATTTGTTTTACACAATGTTTCATGTTTGCTGTTTTCAATCGAGATCTGTTTCAATCAGGGTATTAAGTGGCAGCCTCATTCATTATTAACTGTTGTTCAATGAGATATGTTTATTAACCTTGTTCATGTCCACACTTTCAAGGCTCATAGATTTTGTTTTGTTG